GAGAATCAACGTGAAACTCCAAGAGTTGGATATTGTAAATTACTTACGGATTAGCCTAAACAACAAAATTGATACGAGGTCCATATGATGTGATTATAGATTGATTGAAGGAAGTCGTACGGATTGCACGAGGTGAAGCAGTTGGTATTTCGGCACGAGTACTGTGAGTAGTAATCTTACCACAATTTATATTTTCATAACCTCCATAGTTTATATGTTATTTTGAAAATAAAATGTATTACTGAATGTTTGGAATTGCATGTGGGACAAGTCCTTTACTTGATATGGTATTGAACAGTTTACTGGAGATATTTACCGTTATTTAAAATGTTCATGTTTTACTGTTACTTGAGATATGGTTACCATTACCGAAATGGATTTACATGATTTGATAAGAACTGATATGCCCTTTATTATTTTGAGAATGCTTTTTTTATGAATATTTACCGGTTACAAGAAAAAGTATAAATGGGAGGAGACTTTGAAGGATCCCGTAGCTAACGACGGGTTCATTAGACCTGGTGCACCTTATATTTACCGATTATCGAGTACAGTTATAGCCCTCGCTAGTGGAAAGATAGAACTAGCATACAGTTGTAGTTTTCCCTCGAGTCCTATAGTTATATTTGACTCCTTTTACAAAGGGGTCCACACAGTGATACAGATTATATGATGCTTTCTTGGAAACCTCCCAAACATAAAGATTTGCTATGAGACAGTGCTTACCGAGTTTATAACCGAATTGTTCAATTGATTTGGTTACACGAAACACATGATGAGACTGATTATTGTTTATTGTTTCTGAAAGGGCATTCTTATTATAATTTTGTATAATATACTAGCATGTTTTCTGGCTTGTCCCCAATTAAAAACGGTTGTGGTTAAGTGTTATTACTTACTGAGCTAGAGACTCACTCCCCGCTATTTTGTTTTTTTATAAATTCAGCAGTTGACGTGAGCGGGGATTTCGTTAATTATAGTACACGAGTTGATAGATCCTGGTGAGCCCCGTACTTGTTCGCGTGGGTGAAGAGTTTAATTATTATTATCGTCTTTCCTTTTGAACTCTTAGAGTCGCTCCATAGTCATTTTTATTAGTGTCAAGAGTATTCATTTGTTATAATACGGCTAGTTAATGAAGATTTGTGGTTGGTTTAGGTGAATATTGGTTGGTTGTATATTGTTTATGAGACATGAAAACTTTTGGATAGTCCTAAAATAGGGGAGACTTTGTCCGATTTTCTATAAAATACCGATGAAGCTTACTTAGGAGCACTTGCTCCTAAGCGCTGGTCATGATCCTAAATTGGGTCGTGATAGGGTGGCAGTCCAAAAACTTAATTATAATGTATTTAACAACAATTCATCAAAATAATATTAAGTGTTACACATAGCAGCACCATGGAACTTCTTTGTCAATATTAATACAACCTAGAGTAAGGAATTTTCATGTATTGTCAATTTCACGTTTGGGAAGTGCGAAGTAAAAATATTTCCTCATTATAAAGATGCTCAATCAAAAAGACAAATATTAGTAAAAATTTGGGTGTTACAACTCTCTCCCCCTTAAATATATTTTGTCCCGAAATTTACCTGGTACTAGTCCCTAAACAAATGTGGATATTGAACTAGCTTATCCTCTTCTCGCTCCCAGGTAGCTTCTTCGCCAGAATGATTTTTCCAAAGAAATTTCACAAGGGGATGCTCTTGTTTCTAAGCTCATTTAACTCACGCGCTAAGATTTGGATTGGTTCTTCTCCATATGTAAAATCAGGATTGACCTCAATAGATTCAATAGGAAGAACATGAGATGGATCTGAGCGGTATCTTCTAAGCATTGAAACATGGAAGACGTTGTGGATCTTTTCTAACTCTGGTAGAAGAGCTAGTTTATAAGCAACTGGGCCAACTCTATCAAGCACTTCATAAGGTCCAATTAATCGTGGACTAAGTTTACCTTTTTGGTCAAATCTCATAATCTTCTTCCATGGAGAAACCTTTAAAATACCTTATCACCCGCTTTAAACTCAATTTCACGCCTCTTAAGATCAGCATAAGAATTTTGTCTATCTGAGGCAATTTTTAAGCGATCCTTGATGATTTTTACCTTATCTTCAGTTTGTTGAACAATCTCAGGACCCACCAATTTTCTTTCACCAACCTCGTTCCAACAAAGAGGCGTTCTGCATTTTCTCCCATACAAAACTTCATAAGGAGGCATGCCTATACTTGATTGGTAGCTATTATTGTAAGTAAATTATATCAGGGCTAAGTGTTTGTCCCAACTACCCTCAAACTCAATAATGCAGGCTCGAAGCAAATCCTCCAAGATTTGTATTACCCTCTCAGAATGGTCGTCTATTTGTGGATGGAAAGCGGTACTAAAATTTAACCTAGAACCCAAAGCTTCTTGCAAGCTAGACCAAAATCTGGATGTAAACCTTGGATCTTTATAAGACACAATATAAACAGGGCTTCCATGCATCCTCACAATCTCAGTAATGTATAATTCTGCCAAACGTTCAAGTGAGTAGTCCATTCTGATTGCCAAAAAATGAGCACTCTTAGTTAGTCTATCTATAATGACCCAAAATGCATCATGATTCCTTTGAGTGCGTGGAAGTCCAGAAACAAAGTCCATCGTTATCATTTTCCATTTCCACTCAGGTATTGACAAGGGATGCAGTAGACCAGCTGGGACTCCATGTTCAACTTTTATTTGTTGACATACCAAGCATTTAGAAATGAACTCTGCAATGTCTTTCTTCATACCACTCCACCAGTAGTGCTCCTTGATGGTCCCGTACATTTTAGTACCTCCAGGATGCATTGTATAAGGCGAACTATGTGCTTCAATCAAGATCTGCTTCCTCAATTCATCATCATTAGGAAAACACAACCTATTTTTATAAAATAAGGTATCATCTTTCTTCAATGTAAAATCTGATTCTCTTCCATTTTGGACTTCTTCAACCTGTTTCACAAGCTTCTCGTCTAACTTCTACGCTTCTTAGACCTGCTCAAGTAAGACTAGCTTGACTTGCAAATTAGCAATGCTAGAACCATTAGAATTAAATGAAAGACAAGCATTCATGGCTCTTAATTCAAGAAGCAAGGGCAAAGGACTTAGGGTTAAACTTGCAAGGGAACTGCGACTCAACGCATCTACAACCACATTAGCTTTACCAGGATGATAATCAATCGTGCAATCAAAATCTTTGATGAGTTCAAGCTATCTACGTTGTCTCAAGTTTAAATATTTTTGTGTACCCAAGTACTTCAAACTCTTGTGATCAGTAAATATGTGATATTTCTCCACGTACAAGTAATACCTCCAAATTTTTAAGGCAAAAACAATGGCAGCAAGTTCCAGATCGTGAGTGGGATAATTCAACTTATGTGATTTCAAATTTCGAGATGCATAAGCAATTACTTTCCCTTCTTGCATCAAAACACAACCCAAGCCATGGTGATATGCATCACTATATACCACATAATCTTTCCCTTCAGCTGGCAGAGAAAGTATTGGAGCTTGTGTCAACAAGGATTTGACACTTGTCATCCCACACAAATTTGGCGTATTTCCCCAAACGTTTGGTCAAAGGAGAAGCTATAATAGAGAAGCCCTTCACGAACCTCCTATAGTATCCTGCTAAACCCAAGAAACTTCTTATCTCAGTTGGAGTTTTAGGAGGTTTCCAATCAACAATAGCTTGAATCTTACTAGGATCAACCTTCACACCTTCAGCTGATACAATATGCCCCAAAAATGCCACTTCACTCAGCCAAGATTCACATTTGGAAAGCTTCGCGTAGAGTTGCCTCTCTTTCAGAATTTGCATGACAATCCGGCGATGCTTATCATGATCTTCTCTATTTTTGGAATAGACTAAAATGTCATCAATAAACACCACCACAAATTGATCAAGATACGGCTTGAATACATGGTTCATTAGATCCATAAATGCAACAGGAGCATTTGTCAAACCAAATAGCATTACCAAAACTTCATAATGGTCATACATAGTTCTAAAAGCAGTTTTAGGAACATCTTGCTCCCTCACGCACAACTGATAATATCCAGACCTCAAGTCAATTTTTGAGAACAAGCTGGCACCCTTCAGTTGGTCAAATAAGTCATTGATTCTAGGCAGTGGGTATTTGTTCTTGATTGTTACCTTATTCAGCTATCGATAATCAATGCAAAGCCTAAGAGTGCCATCTTTCTTTTTCACAAATAAAACAGGAGCTCCCCAAGGCAAAATACTAGGATGGATAAAACCTTTCTCAAGAAGTTCTTGTAAATGAGCCTTCAAATCTTTTAATTCAGCTGAAGCCATTCTATAAGGAACGATAGAAATAGGAGTAGTTCCAGGGACAAGCTTTATAGGAAACTCAATCTCCCTTTCTGGAGGCAACCCAGGAAGATCATCAGGAAATACAGCAGGAAAGTCGCACACAGTTGGTATGTCCTTAATACTTGGACTCCCCAATCGTGTATCGACTATATAAGCAAGATAGGCATCACAACCTTGACAAATCATCTTCCTTGCCAAGATAGCAGAAATAATATTAGTTGTCAATGATATTTCTCCTTGAACTACTACGTGTGAGTATGCATGAGTTCTAAAAGTCACTTGCTTCTACCTACAATCAACCAATGCATGGTGCCTATGGAGCCAATATATACCAACAATAACATCATAGTCTTGGAAGGGCATTTCAAGCAAGTATGCAGGGAAGACCAGATTTTGAATCATGAATGGACAATCTCTGTAAATCCTATTAACAACAGCCTGATGACCTAATAGACTCGTGACCAGCATATCAAAGTCAAGTCTCACAGATTTAACAGTATCAGGAAATGCAAGTGATGAGCAAACATAAGAGTGCGAAGATCCAGGATCAAATAATGTAATAACATATATGCCAAATAAGTGAAATGTACCAACAACCACGTCCGGGCCATCTTGGTCATTGTTTTGTCTCATAGCATAGACTCATGCAGTAGATCTCGACCCACTATCCTGATTAGCTCCACCCGAACCCGCCGCTTGCATATTTCTAAGTCTTGCACCGCTATTAGCTTGAGAATGAGTAGTGATAGGCTTTTGAACTGAGTCCTCTATATGTGTATAAGAAAGAGGATTAGGATTAGGACAATCCTTCACTTTATGATCCTTACCTCCACAATTAAAACAAGCACCAGAAGCTCTTCTGCAGGCACCATAGTGATTCTTTCCGCATTGTGTACAAGTAGGTGTATAAGTTTTGCCTTGGACATAACTTGGAGTATTAGCAGTAGAGAAATTTGGCTTATTCTGCTTATGATATGATGACTTCTGTGCACTTTCAGTCTTGGAATAGTCAAACTTTCCCTTCTTGGATGGACCGTCATAATCTGAATTACCTTTCCTAAACTTGTTTTCTCTCCTACTAGCTTCTTCCTTGTCAATTCTTTCCCAAGTAAGAGCAGCTGAAATTAGCTTGGAAAAATCCTCAAGTTGCAAGATTGCCACAGATTTTCGAATGTAATCATTCAAACCTTCTTCAAATTTTCTGTACTTGTCTCTTTCACCATCAATAATACCTCCAGCATAGCGAGAAAGCCTATAAAATTTTTGTTGATACTCTGCAATAGACATACTCCCTTGTCTTAAATTCAGAAACTTGTTTTTCTTTGCATCACAGTAGACAGGGGGGACATATTTCGCACGAAATGCTTTTACAAAGTCATCCCAAGTCTGCACCGGAGTTTTTTGTTTTTGCATTTGGCACACTTACTCACCAATGATAGGCATCTTTTTGTAAAAGAGAGATAGCATACTTAAATTTGGCACCATTAGTACACTCTAGTTGTTCAAAGACCCTCTCCATGCGCTCGAGCCATTGTTCAGCTACCGTGGGATCAGTAGTGCCTTCAAATTCAACTCCACCCATTTTCCTCATATTCTCAAAATTCATTTCACTAGGTTCTGATATTGTCCCAGCCAAGTGACAAAAGAACTCAGCCATCTGCTGAAATGGAGGAGTCATAATAGGAGTACTATGACCCATTGCTCTTGGATTATTGTCCACTTCATTTTCACTAACACGGTGATGATTTAGCTTAGGCAAGGTACCTCATCTATTTCTTGGAGGTGAGGTGGAGTATTATAATGGGCCTGACTTTCATCAATGGATTCAATAGCTCTATTCGAATAAGAGGCCATATTAAATTTCTATAAAAGATAAGATCATACTGCATTAGGAACATGTACATGATGCATATGCACAAGTAATACATCAAATTACATTAAACAAGTATGCAAAAATTTATAATCTCCAAGTCATTTTCAAGAAAGAAAATAACAAAAATATTAGGTACGATCACAACAAAAATCCTAGAATCACGAACCTAGGCTCTGATACCAAAACTTGTAGCAACCCCTTTGGGAGGGTTCTACTTACGAAACAAATCTAATTTACTACTTACAACATAAAGAATACATTAATTAAAAAAAATATTCAGAATAATTTAGTAGCGGAAATAGGCCCATGCGATGAGGTCCAAAGTGCAACTTTTTTTTTTTGAAAACACGCTTCATAATATTATTCTATTTTTAAAAATGAAATACAATGTCAAAATATCAACATAAGGTGATATAACCCTTCTTGAATAATCAACATCACTACAAGTTTGTATTGTACATAAATTTCAAACTATCGGGTATAAAAAGAAAAACTAGTTTTCTCCTTTGTACATATATATAAGACAAAATGTAAATTCAACATATTACAAGACTTGAGTTATTAACACACCTTAAAATAGCAAAATAATTTACTAAATTCAAGTTACAAGATTTTGGTCTCAATATCCAAGCCTCCAAATAACATACATAAGTGTGACATATATATCATGTACAAGTCCCAAAACTATACAAAACCATGGTGCATATGCAAATTTAATCTCCATAAGTGCTCCCAAAAGACTACTTCATAAGGCCGTCTTCAAATTTCATCTTGTACATTACCTACGATAGAAAACAACTATCGCTAAGCATAAAGCTTAGTGGCGTATAAACTTTAGGCTTGGAGTCATTAACTTCTCCAATTCTCATTTTCAGTCATAGGTAGCTCAAATGAAACATAATTTAAAACAAGTGAACAAATATATCAAAAGTATCAAATATCAACCCTTGAAATATTTCCAAATATCAATAACAATATTCAAGATTCAAGAGTTGAGAAAGTGTATACTATCAATCAAAGAAAACTTGTCAAATATCTATTTTTCGCCCAATATGTACGTCATGCCATCACACTAAGCAAAATCAGATATCAAGATGGACAGAAATCCAAAATCAAGTAGGGTCAAAACCCAACACTCAAGAGAATCAAGAACCATATTAAAAATGGCTTCCTAGTTCGTACTTAACACGGACAAGTTCCATAATTTAAGATGAACTACAAATCCAAAGTCAAGATGGCAAAAGATCCAAATCAAGAGGCATGCCAAGATGAGTGACAAAGTCACTGCCACAAGAAGGACAAAGTCCCAACAAGAATGCAAAATGATCAAACGATCCGTATGAGTTGGCGATTTAGCAAATATTTTACAATACTTGATATAACACGAATACAATGCTATTAATTGAAGAGAAGAAAAACAAAATATTAGGTTATTTCAAAATATTCCAGCAAGTAAAAAGAGTACAAAGTTTATACGCAAACCTTGGTGTTTTACCACAAAATAGTTCAACCACAACTTGAGGACGTTCGAATCGTCTACGCCCTAGACAAACCAAATCTGTCCACTTCCTCAAACACTTCCCCTTAGCTTTTATAAGGATATATATACCTTAAATACATAATAAAATATCTATATAAGTTCAGTGATTTAACATGTCAAACTAAACATGATATTGGTGAAAATTACCCAAAATGTTTGAAACAGAAATTTTGGACAGTATCACTGTCTCGTGTTGTGACTCAAATTTGAAGATGAAAAGGGACAAACTAGACTGTGCGGTCTTCTTTACAGTTGTAGATATGTGTCTTAGAGTTTCATAACATCTTGAATCACCCCCATATCAATTTTGTGCAAAGAGTTCTACTAAACGTACTAAGAGTAGTACAGGGAGGGTTTATAAACCAGAAAATCTGGGCAGCACCTGCCCTGTACGTCACCTATTTTCGGGTACATAAAAGACAAACCAGGTTTTGGTTCCTTCATAAGAGTTATAGTTCTATGAAATAGCTTTCCAGAAAGTCTTAGATCACTTAAAACGGAGTTCTATAAAAAAATATGAATAAAATACTAATAGTTATCTAGTGTAAAAACGGGTTTAGTAACTTACCACAAAAGAGAGGAGCAACTTGAGCTTCACCAAGAACGAATTTTGCTTGTTGGTTTAGTGGAAATTTATGGTGGTTTTCATGAAGTTTTCAGGTAATAAGAAGGAGAGAGGGTAGGGGTTTTATAAGAAGGAGAGAGGGTAGGGGTTTTCTTTTTTCTTGAAAGAATAAAAATGGGGAGTTTATGGAAGACTAAGTCAATTAAAGTTATCTCTAAGAATTTTGGATAAATATGAAATAAAAATGGCTGCCCAACTATTAAATATCCTTAAATAAATACAAAAGGGTGGCAACCCAAAAACTTAATTATAATGTATTTAACAACAATTCATCAAAATAATATTAAGTATTACACATAGCAACATCATAGAACTTCTTTTTCAATATTAACACAACCTAGAGTAAGGAATTTTCATGTATTGTCAATTTCATGTTTAGGAAGTGCGAAGTAAAAATATCTCCTCGTTATAAAGATGCTCAATCGAAAATACAAATATTAGTAAAAATTTGGGTTGTTACAATGAATACTCCCTCTTCTGAATGATGAACAACCTGTTTATCTAAATAAACTACACCCTCAAGGCCGATATATATGTGCACAAGCTACGGCCTCATGCCCAAGTATATGTATACATAACTACGGCCTCGGGCCCAAAAATGAATAAAGCATAAACTATGGCCTCAAGCCCAAATAGGCATAAAGCATATAAACTACGGCCCCAGGACCAAATACATGTGTTCAACATTCAAGGATTTAAATTTAGGAACTGAGAATCATACTGCAATATGTGATGCTGAAATACTGAATCATATTGAGTTACATGATACTGGAATACTGAATAAGACTAGACTGAGACATGTATTCTTGAACTGATTATGAAAACTGAAACTTCAATTGTTTATGACATGCTGAGTAATCTACATTGAAACTCACAGACATCAAACCCATGTCTATATTGATTGCGCACTGAGCTCACAACCCATGTCTATAGAAGTTCTGCAACTATTCAAGGAACTAGGCTTAACTATATTTCTGAGGCAAGTAATAACGTCGTAAAAGAAACGTAGTGTAGGGAGAATCATTAACATTCCCAAACATAGAGAGTTAGCCTCACATACCTTAACTTCCTGCTCTTGAGCATAATACAACATTTTATAACCCTTTCAACTTTAATCTATATCAATACAAGTCAAAGGTATTCCATATTAGCAATAATACTCATGTTTTGTTCACTTAGGCATTTTATCAAATAGCTTATGAGCGTAAAGCGTCATAGCCCTCATTAATGGTGTTTCTACACCCAACAAGCCATTCTCTTGATCCTAGATAAATTCTAAAATCTCAAATTTCTTATAATCAATATCATTCTTCTTCACCCATGAGATAAACAATATCTTTAACCAATAATCAACAATCAATAATCAAACATATAATTATTCATGATTTTCTATCAAACCCAGCAACTCAAATCTCTTGAACATAGAGTCTATAATCATTAATCCAATGGTATAATCAATTAGAGGGTGAAAACATTAGCTTTTTGAATTTCAATCCTCTTGAATTCGAGTTCTAGGGTTTCTTCTCTCAATAATGATGCCCAAATCGAATATCTAATGATTTGAAGGGTTTACCCATGTTAATAAGGTTTTATAGAATTGAAATTAACTTAGAATCACCATTAGAACTTACCTTGGATAGTGGAGGGGCCTTTGAGGAGTTAGTTTCTTGAGAGTTTCCCTTTCTAGAGCAAGTTTTTGTGTTTTGGGGTGTGGGGGACGAAGTAGGGCTTTAAAAATAACCCCCTGGGTGTGCTACTACATACCTGAAGGCCCAGCCATGCACATGGATGCGCAGCAGGGCAATAACACTGCCACAAGTGCATGGCCGCCCACGGAACCATCTGGGCGCGCATACTATGCATTGTCCAGTAAATTGCACATAACATTTTGCTCATAAATCCGTTCGGGCTCAACAATATATCGTTGGAAAGATATTACAAAGGGCTACAACTTTCATGTTTTAAGTTTTCCCAAATCCTTTACATAGTTTCACGAGATCCCACTGGAAGACAGATTTTTCGTAAACTTAGTCGATTTTATCGAATCTTATGCACCTCACTCTCCGTCTTGATTCCAAAACAACTATTTTCACCGATAACCATCCCGATAGGACTTCATATGTCTAAGAAGTCACATTAATACTCATTTAACATGTTCACACCCAGTCCAAATTTACGGAGTGTTATATTATCTCCCGCTTGGGATCATTCGTCCTCGAATGATTGTCCTGATTGTAACTTCATCTAACTTTGGACCTTAAACGGGTTTGGTGGAAATATAAACTTTCATGAACACTTGCATACTAAACTAAATGAATACATTATTACTGAACTACTGAGATACTGAACTGAATGACTACTGTATTGACTGAATA